ATATAATGTTGTCTGTTCACTGCCCTTGGATTTCTTTCCATCACCACATATTTGACCCCTTTTATGGCTATCTACCTCCTCCCTCCCACCTTCCTTCTGGTAATCACTAGTCCACTGTTCATGTCCATGAACTCTGTTTGTCACATTTGTTTGTTGTGATATCATGCAGTTTTTAACTTTTTTCTGTCTGACTTATTTCGCTAGCATGATTATCTCAAGATCCATCCATGTTGTTCCAAATGGCAGTACTTCATCTCTTCTTATGTCTGAGTAATATTCTATTGTATATATGTACCACAGCTTCTTTATTCTAATCATCTGCTGTAGGACACTTCGGTTGCTTCCATGTCCTGGCCACCATGAATAATGCTGCTATGAATGTCAGAGTGCAAATATCTTTTCAGATATGAGTTTTCAAGTCTTTGGAGTAAATGCCCAATAGAGGGATTACTGGATCATATGGTAGATCAATTCTTAGTTTTTTGAGGAACCTCCATACTGTTAATAACTAGTGACTGTAACAATTTGCGGTCTCAGCAGCAGTGTATGAGAGTTCTTTTTTCCCTGCATCCTTTCCAACACTTGTTATTACTCGTCCTATTGATAACAACTAATCTAACAGCTGTGAGTTGGTATCTCATTGTGGTTTTGCTTTGCATTTCCCTAATAACTAGTGATGCTGAGCATCTTTTCATATGTCTGTTGCCATTTGTATGTCTCTTGGAAGAAGCATCTGTTCAGGACCTCTACCCATTTTTTGATAGAATCGTTTATTTTCTTGTTGTTATTGAGTCATATGAGTTCTTTGTATATTTTGGATATTAGACCCTTATCGAAGGCATTGCTTGCAAATATATTTTCCTATTCTGATGGTTGTCTTTTTACCTTGTTGACGGTTTCTTTTGCAGAGCAGAAGCTCTTTAGTTTGATGTAGTACCCTTCATTTATTTTAGCTTTTACTTTTCTTGTCTTTGAGGTCAAATTCATAAAATCCTCTTTAAGTCCGAGGTCCTTGAGTTTAGTTCCTAGGTTTTCTTCTATGCAATTTATTGTTTCGGGTCTTATATTCAGGTCCTGAATCCATTTTGAGCTAATTTTGGTGTGTGGTGATAGACAACAATCTACTTTCATTCTTTTGCAGATGGCTTTCCAGTTTTCCCAGCACCTTTTATTGAAGAGGCTTTGCTTTCTACACTGTACGTTTTGGGCTCTTTTGTCAAAAATTATTTTTCCATATCAACATACATTTACTTCTGGACTCTTGATACTGTTCCACTGGTCTGTGTGTCCTATTTTCTGCCAATATAATGCCATTTTAATTATTGTTGCTTGGTAGTTTAATTTGAAATCGTGCAGAGTGATGCCTCCAACCTCATTCTTATTTCTCAGGACGGCTTTGGTGATTCAGGGTCTTTTGTGCTTCCATACAAATCTGATGATTTTTTGTTCTATTTCTTTAAAAAATGCCGATGGGAATTTGATGGGGATTGCATTAAATCTGTATAATGCTTTAGATAATAAGGTCATTTTAACTATGTTGATTCTTCCAATCCAAGAACACGGAAGTTGTAACTTCTTCAATTTCTTTTAATAGGCTCTTATAGTTTTGATTCTATAGGTCCTTCACATGTTTCGTTAGCTTTATTCCTAGGTATTTTATTCTCTTTATTGCAATTGCAATTGCAAAAGGAATTATTTTTTTCCACTTCTCTTTCTGACAATTCATTATTAGAGTAGAGGAATGCTATGGATTTTTGAAAATTGATTTTGTACCCTGAAACTTTACTATATTTGTTTATTATTTCTAATAGTGTTCTTGTGGAGTCTTTAGGGTTTTCTATATAGAGAATCATGTCATCCACAAATAGTGACACTCTGACTTTTCATTTTCTACTTCAATGCCTTTTATTTCTTTCTCTTGCCTGATTTCAATCAGTAGGACCTAAATCTTATATGAATTTGATAAAGAAAAAAAAATCTATGCCCTCCTCACAAAGTTTGCAACCTGAAAACATTATTACCAAATCACAAATGAGTGGACCACTTCATATGACCAAAAAATTGCTCAAATATAACATTAGTCTAATGTGCAGTGCTTGTATTACCTTGTAAAACTATACTTTAAGAAATTCTATTGAAAGATGAAAGAAAAAAGGACAATGTTTGACAGACTTTCAATAACACAGACTAAAGTGTCATGAAATATATTGTAAGATAATGTAATATATGATCGCATAAGCAATGGAAATCATTGTGAAAGTTGTAGATATTTGCATTGAAAAATTAAACATAAGGTTCATAAACAATGCTTAGAATAGTTAGGATAATGTATGAAAATTATTAACTCCACACTGATGTTAGAAAAAAACACAATTATTGAGCTCCGATTTTTAGCTACATGTTAAGCAGTGAGGCTGAAAGAAAGTGTGGAGGAAAATAAAAGCGAGGAGATAAAAACTGAAGAACTAGAAGCCATAGATGTTCTAGACCGACACTACTCAAATGTTAATATGCATGTAAAATTCACGGTGATCTTGTCAAAGTGCAGATGCTGGTCCAGCAGGTGTGAATGGGGCCTGGAATTCTGTGTTCGAAGAAGCTCTTGGGCAATGCTGCTCCTGCTGGTCCATGGACCACACTTTGAATAGCCAGGCTGTGAAAGACACAACTACTTTGGAACTGAGATTTGTTTCCAGCTAGTATTGACAGAAAAAGAAAGGGTGGAAGCATTTCAAATCTCCTAACTGAAGGCAATTATTAAAAGGTAGTACTTTATTAATTCATCTACCTAAAAATAAAGGCAACCACATTCTTATGCTGCCAATGTGGTGATAATTGAACGTTACTTTTTCTCTTTCCTGCAAGTTTTTTCATCCTCATGGAACCAGGAAATCAAACATGTGCTTCAGAATTTCTCCTCCTGGGATTTTCAGCAAAGTCAGAGATTCAGTTTCTTCTCTTTGGGCTATTCCTCTCCTTGTACCTGGTGATGTTCATTGGGAACCTGCTCATCATCCTGGCCGTCAGCTCAGACTCCCACCTCCACACTCCCATGTACTTCTTCCTCTCCAATCTGTCCTTTGCTGACATCTGTTTTGCCTCCACCACCATCCCAAAAATGCTGGTGAACATCCAGACACAGAGCAAAGTCATAACCTATGCAGGCTGCCTCAGCCAGATTTTTTTTTTCATTGTGTTTGGATGCTTGGACAATTTACTCCTGACTGTCATGGCCTATGACCGATTTGTAGCCATCTGTCACCCTCTGCACTACACAGTCATCATGAACCCTCGTCTCTGTGGGCTGCTGGCCCTGGGGTCCTGGTGCATCAGTGTCATGGGTTCCCTGCTTGAGACCTTGACTGTTTTGAGGCTATCTTTCTGCACAAACAGGGAAATCCCACACTTTTTTTGTGACCTTCCTGAAGTACTGAAACTCTCCTGTTCCAACACCCTTGTCAATAACATAGTGGTGTATTTTACAACTAGCCTTCTGGCCATGATTCCTTTCAATGGAATTATTTTCTCTTACTATCAAATTGTTTCCTCCATCCTAAGGATTTCCTCAGCTGGGGGCAAGTACAAAGCCTTCTCCACCTGTGGGTCTCACCTGTTGGTGGTCTCCTTGTTCTATGGAACAGGCCTTGGGGTCTACCTCAGTTCGGCAGCCACTTCATCCTCTAGGACAAGTCTGGTAGCCTCGGTGATGTACACTGTGGTCACCCCCATGCTGAACCCCTTCATCTACAGTCTGAGGAACAGAGACATAAAAGGGGCCCTGGGGAAACTCCTTGTCAAGATGGGGACTCTCAAGGACAGAGATGTTGTAGGGCTCTCATGAGTAACTGAGTACACAATAATGAGCACCAGAAATCCTGGCTTTCTTTGTCCAGCATTTTTATTTTTCCTAATTTTACATGTTTTTAAATTAAATTTATTGGGGTGACATTGATTAATAAAATTATATAGGTTTCATATATTCACCACCCAAAATCAAATCTCCTTCCATCACCATATATTTGATCCCCTTTACTCTTATCTACCTCTCTCTGAATCCCTTTCATTTTAGTAACCACTAAACTGTTGTCTGTGTCTATGAGTTTTCGTTTGTTTGTCTTGCTCATTTGTTTTATATCTCACATATAAGGGAAATCAGACTTTCCTTTGGTTTTCCATACTTTCTCCATATTTCTTCAGGTTATATCTTGGGTTCTTTTTCACTTTATAACCAGTCATTTTAACTTTATGTGAAGAGAACCTGGCATTTTTTTTTCACTTATCTTCAGTAATGGTCTATATTTTTTAAGTAAATCTTATGCTTTTAAAATATATTCTCAGAAGTGAAGAGACGTGTACCTATTTTGGAAATGCTTTGAAAGCTCAATTACAAAGATGATTTCTAACATTAGGTGAAGTTCAGTGACGTTGTAGAATATGAAATCAATATACAAAAATCAGTTGAGTTTCTATATGCTAATAGTGAATTATTGAGAAGAGAAAATTAAGTAAACAATCTTATTTACAAAAGCATCAAATACAATAAAATACTCAGGCATAAATTTAACCAAGGAGGTAGAAGATCTGTACCCTGAAAACTATAAGTGATTAAATAAATTGAAGAAGACAAAAATAATGGGCCAGATACCCCATGTGCACAGATTGAAAGAATCAATGTTGTTAATTTAAAATGTCTATACTACCCTAAGCACTCAGCAGACTCATATCAAAATAAAAGCATATAGTTCCATATATTAAATTATATTACAAGGCTACAGTAATCAAATAGTACGGTGCTGGCATTAAAATAAACAAATAGACCAATGGAACAGAATCAAGAGCCCAGATATTAACAAATTCAGATGTCAATTAATCTTTGACAACGGTTCTGAAAACACATACTAGGGAATGAATAGTCTTCTTAATCAATAAGATTGGGAAAACTGGATATTCATATGAAAAAAATAAAACTAGACCCCTATTCTACACCACTTACAAAAATTATTTTGAAATATATTAAAGATTTAAATGTAAGACCTCTATTTGTAAAACTTCTTAAAAAGGAAAAAATTTCTTTGACATTGGTATTGAAAATTATTTGTGGATGTGACACCAATAGTACAGGTAACAAGAGAAAAAATAAACAAGTGATATTACATCAAACTAAAAAGTTTCCATATAGCAAAGGAAACAATCAACAAAATAGAAAGGCCACCTATAGAATGAAACAAAATATTTGTGGCAAAGGAAAAAATCGACGAAATAAAAAGACCACTTATGGAATGGAACAAAATATTTACAGACCTCATATCTGTTTTTTAATATCCAAAAAACATTAGGACTTATACGACTTAATACAAAAAGAACAAATAATCCAATTAAAACTGGACAGATGACTTGAACGGACGTTTTTCTAAAGGACACTTACAAATGCGCAACCAGTACATGAAAAGATGCTCAACTGAGCATTGGGGAAATGCAAATCGAAACCACACTGAAATATCACCTCACATCTGTTAGAATGTCTACTATCAATAAGTAAAGAATAACAATTGTTGACAAGGATATGGAGAAAAGAGAATCGTTCATTGTACTCTGTTGGTGGGAATGTAAATGGGTATATCCATTATGGAAAATAGTACGAAGCCTTCTCAAATTTTTTTTAAACTATTATGTAATGCAGCCATCCCACTTCTGGTTATATATCCAAAAGGAATAAAATCTGTATCTGGATGAGATATTGGCACTTCCAATTTCATTGCAAAATTATTCACAAAACCCAATATATGAAAACAACCTAAGTGTCCATCAGTAGAAAATAGATAAAGGAGATGTGAGATATATATAAAATAGAACATTATTCAGTGATAAAAAAGAAGTAAATCTTGACATTTTCAACAACATGGATGGACTTTAGGGGTATTATTATAACTGAAATAACTCAGACAGAGCAAGACAAAATTATATGATCTATCTTATATGTGAATTCTTTTTGAAAAAGCCAAACTGATAGAAACAAAGAATAAATAGGTGGATGCCCAGGACTGAGGTGGGGGAAATGTTGAGATGTTAATCAAAGGATACAAGCTTCCAGTTATAAGATGTCTAAGTTGGTGGAATGTAATGTACAGCAAGGTGACTATAGTTAACAATACTCTAATATATACTTGAAAACTGCTAAAAATATATATATTAAATGTTCTTACCACAAAAAAAGGTAATTATATAAGGTGCTGGTTCTGTTAACTAACCTTATTGTGGTAATAATTATGCAATATACACATATATCAAATCATCATGTCATATACCTTAAATTTACACAATGTTATGTGTCACATTCACATCTCAATAAAGATGCAAAAAAAATTTTTAAGTCTCAAAGCAATGGGTGAGATTGTACAGTCCACCTAGGAAACTTGGGAAGTAAAAAAGTAATTGTGAAAAAATAAATTAAATTCTACCTGGGGTATATAGCTACAAGCATTTCATATGTCTCTTAACAACAAATGGCCAACAAATATATGAAAAGATGTTCAGCATCACTAGCTATTAGGGTATTGCAAATCAAAACCACAATGAGATACTATCTCACACCTGTTAGAATAGCTATAATCAACAAGACAAGTAGTAACGAATGTTGGAGAGGATGTAGAGAAAAAGGAACCCTCATACACTGCTGGTGGGAATGCAAATTGGTAGAGCCACTATGGAAAACAGTATGGAGGATTCTCAAAAAACTAAGAATTAATCTACCAAATGATCCAGCAATACCTCTACTGGGTATTTACACCAAAGACTTGAAAACCCATATCCGAAAAGATATTTGCACACTGATGTTCATAGCAGCATTATTCATGGTGTCCAGGACATGGAAGCAACCGAAGTGTCCTACGATAGATGTTGGCTAAAAAAGCTGTGGCACATAGGTACAATGGAATATTCCTCAGCCATAAGAAGAGATGAAATACTGCCATTTATGGCAACATGGATGGACCTCGAGATAATCATGCTAAGCCAAATAAGCCAGACAGAAAAGGTGGAAAATCACATGATATCACTTACATGTGGGATATACACCTAAAAGCAACAAATGAACAGGACAAACAAACAGAGACTCATGGACTCATGGACATGGACTATAGACTAGTGGTTACCAAAGGGTAGGGGTAGGGGAGCGGGGAGGTAACAGGGTAAAGAGGGTCAAATATGTGGTGACAGAAGGAAATCTAACTATAGGAGGTAAACACAGTGTAAATATATATATGTCTAACTGTTAAAGTGTATAGCTAAAACTTATTGGATTCCGTTAACCAAAGTCACCATAAAAATGAATTAATTAACTAATTTTTTAAAAAAGCATGAAACTCCTAATTGATTGGTCAAAAATATTATAAAGCCAAGGATTAGTGTACCCATGGTTTTATAGCAAAGGAATGAAGCTCTCCACCTATCAGAAAAGGAAGTAGCAATTTTCTAAGAGTCATATTCGGACATATCAGGAGTCATATTCACACAAAATCACTGGCTTTTAAGACCCAAGGGAAGAAGACAGGCAGGTTCCCCAGTCTTAGATATGGATAAGACTTTAATTCAGGGCTGTGAAAAGTTTCAGTGTCAAATTCTGGAAGCCAGAAGAGTTCATGGAGA